CATTTTTTGCAACAATTAAAAGGTCTGACACAGTTATGTCCACTTGCAATTTTTAAACAATTAATTTACTAAAAATTAGAAAAAGCTGGCAAAAAATTGGAATAATGGGATCAAACACGCGCATAATATTAGTCCAATGAAATATGCTTTCAAGGTATTAATATAATTAACTAACTCTACTGTTAAAATCCGTTCATTTTGTGGGCCCTTTTGGTTGTATTGAGATCTTTTCAAATTTTGCAGTAGTACTTGGAAAGAGAAAAAGTCAATTGATGACCCTGGTGGATTTTGGTCGGACAGTGCATCCCAGATCTTTTGAAAACAGAGATGGGGCATACTCGTCTACTCGCGGAAGAATCAAGGTTGAGGTAAATGGTTATCTTAATTACATTTCCTTTTCAAACTGATGCACTAGATTTCCTTCATTTTTGGCTAATTTGTAGAGTCCAAGTTGTGTGTATGAGAACGTTGTTTCAAAGATCATGTAAGAGGTTCACAAAAAGGAGATAGTCCAAGTATAGTACGCTGTTGACTGAGATTTATTCAATATCAATTCTTCGAGAAAACTTCAGTGGGACGGTCGAATGGGAAGCCATCACTTCATCGGGTGGCCCACCCTTACCCTTAGAAAATGCTTCAACCATTTTTAATAGAATAAAAACATGGTCTTGAGAAGTTCTCCAGTCTTTGAATTTTGAAGAAAATGCTTCAAACATTATCATTCATTGAGATACAGGTTAAAACCATTAAAAGATTTTTTTATTTTTACTTCAACAAGTAGTTCGTGAAATGGATCATTTTTGTTTAAGTTTCGAAAATTAATTTCTTTGAACCATTAAAGAGACTCACTAATATTAAAAGAGATTCCAAGTTGATAAAGTTCCAATAAATACCACTGGAAGCAAAACAATTCTTTTGAAAATTTTGAAACTGCTTGACATGGAATCATATGGAACAATATAAAAAAGAGGTAATTTGGATGAAATCCAAGATCAACAAGTGTTTCAATCCTAGTTTTCAAAGTATCAAAATACGTATTAACTTATTTTTCTTTAATATTATGTTGTTTTGAAAAAAATTATAGTTTGATTTTTGACCCCATAGCACAAAAAGTTTAAATTCGCCCTTGATAATGGTCGATCATTTTTTCCTATAAAGGAGTAGACATGGAAGAGAGTGGCGATAGAATCTATTTTTCCAGCTGGGGGTGGGGAAATTTTGATTGAGGCTATTTTGCAAGCAATTCCTAAATGTATGATTTGTTTGTTCACGTTCCAAACTTTGTTTTGTTGAGAGATCAAGTTGCTGATTTTGCAGTTTTGGTTGGGATCAACTCAGGGAAGGAGGAAGATATTTTGTAAGTAGAGGGGATGAGAAATTTCCTTCAGGTAACTCCGTTTCCTTGAATATAGTGAAGAAAAATTGACTACTAATTGCAGTATCTCCATATTAAATTAGATCCGTAAGCAAAAATATTTTGGGCAGGATTAGAAAAATTTGTTTATGTTCTCTTAGATGACATTAACTAAAAAAGAAAAAATTACAAAGAAGGAAAATGAAGGATTTGCTATGTCCGAAGGATGACAGCACATTTATTTTCTCCTCTTAACAAATATTGTTGATATGCATATTCTTGAAAGGTTTAATATTGAGTTTATTTTTTTTCAACTAATAACTATGAGCAATTTATCTCCACTTTCTACCGCCCTTTTATTTTGTAAACTTGATAAATAAATCTTATCAATCATCTAGGTTTTTCATATTTAAAAATAAAATGTCTTACAACCAATCCAAACAACATTCCACATCTATACCCCATAACAACAGTTTGCCAGGTGAATCCATCTAAGATATTGAAGTCATCATCTTTCCGACATTGGATGCTACGGTTTTGGTTCTTCATTTCCGCAAATCATTATCGATTGCAATTTACATAATTTTGGGTTGTCAATATATGAACTGTTATCAAATGTAAGAAGCAGTCCTTGCTAAGGTATGAGACCAAAAATGAATATGTGAAATGTTAAGAAATGACAAAATTGTCAACTTTGTCAGTTGTCATGGAATCTCTCATACCAAATGATTTGAATAGAGATCTAGTGATTTAAGTGAAATTAAATTTTCTATTAGTGAGACGTGACCTCTAAAACTATTATAAGCTAAATTTAGAGTATGGAGGTTTGTGATCTTTCCTAGAGGACTTAAATATTTCCTTGAGATTTATTGTTTCATAGATCGATATTTGTATAGGCTCTTTGGATACTCCGCAACTCATACTTGCACTCTTTCAGCAAAAAAGTCGAACGATCTCCAAGTACGATTTCACTTTCACTTAGATTCATCATGACTCTGAAATTAACTACAAATTCAATTGGGAGAACACGACGTACAGTTTCACTTTCACTCACATTTCATCATGGCTTTTAAATTATCTAAAAACTGAACCGGGAGAACAACGAACTCATTATGTGATAGGTCAATAATTTGCAGCTTAAAAAATGGATACTCTACCTTTGAAATAGGTATTATAGCATGAAATTTGTTGGATTTCAACACAAGAATTCGAAGATTCGGAAGAGTTCCCATCGAAGAGGGAAACAAGTCATTTATTTCATTATTTCCTCCAATATCTAGTGCTTCAAGCTTCCTATAATTGACCAATGTTCTTGGTAAAGTTCATTAAATAGATTTTCATTTAAGTTCAATATAAGCAGTTGACATCTCTTTGTAAATATTTTAGAAATGGAGCCATGAAAGCAATTGTACTTTAAATTCAAATAAACCAATTTCTCACCGAGTTTGGAGATGATTTTGTGTAACTAGCCCCTCAATTGATCATACTAAGATCCAAAAAATAATTGACTTTAAATCTCCAAGTGAAATCATACCTGTGAGATGGTTGAAGAAAACATTCAGGTAGCGAAGATCTGTTATATCCCTGAACGTTGGAGGTAGTACTTTTGAAAATAGGTTGATTGAAAGGTCTACTACCTTCAAGTTTTGCAAGCTTCTTATCTCGTGAGGGATATAGCTTGAAAATCTATTACCGTTCAGATAAAGATATATGAGAATTGTATAAAAAAAATAAATAAAAAAATAAAAAAATTTCAAATGGGAATTTTCCAGTGAAAAAATTGTTTCAAATCTTCAACATTATTAAATTGGTTTGATTTGTCATTAAATAAGGCCAGATCTTATTTGAAAGAATACTATCAAATATGGACAAAGAAGATAATTTCTTCAGCTTGGTAATAATCTATTGCAAGGTTTCCTGAAAACGGTTAAACCTAAGATCAACAAATTCAAACTTGCCCAGATTGGTGAATAAAGGTTTTGGAATATTACCAGTTAGGGATGTCAAATGGGCTGAGCGGTTCGTGGACGGCTTGATAAGCCCGAGCCCCAGCCGAGCAAGGGCTTAGGCTTGGCTCGTCGGGCCCATGAGCCATTTTGACGAGGCTCGTCAAAAAATATGAAACTTTTTAAAAAAAAGTCTAAAATGTGCAAATTTACCAAAAGAAAAAGGTTAAAAAAATTACGAGCTCATGAGCGGCTCGCGAGCTCGGGTCGTCTTTCACGAGCTCGTGGGTTAAAGCCGACTCAGCCCATTACCATCCCTATTACTAGTAAAAGAGTTAAATGATAAATCAAGAAAAGTTAGGTTTTTAAGACCATCGATTTGATACAAAATCAACCCACGGAGATTATTCCTATTGAGTTCGACACTTGAGAGGGTTGAAAGTAAAGCAAAATCGAGTTGACCACGCGTGCCATCAAGTTTTGCACCAAAGAAGCTTATTCAAGAAATGGACCTTTCAAGGTTGCATACGACCCCTATCCAGTTACAGAGATTATTAACATTGTCAATTTTTCGCAAATCAAGAACAGTAGGATTTAAGATGGAATTCTTCCACCTTAAAAAAAATCTGCTTGTGTTTTCTTAGATGAAACAATACTTTGAATTGGAAGCAAACTGAATATAAAAATATGAAGAAGGAAAAACTAGAATATTTTTAATGTTTTCATGATTATTTGTTTTACGTTTCATTACCTTTTTCCTCTCTTCTTATATAAAGGTAAGGATGTGACATATATGCAGACAAATCATGAAAACAAATTGAAAGAAATCACATGGCAGAACTTGTAATTTTTGAATTTGAATGTATGATGATAAACTCATCATATTTAGAAAGGGAGGGATGGACTTCGCAAGTCACAAAAAAGTTGAAAGAAGTCGCATGGCAGAACTTGCAATTTTTGTAATTGAATGTATGATGAAAAAATTATCATACTTAAAAAGGGAGGGATAGACACGTGAGTAGAAGTTCACATTTTAGATATTAGCATTTAATGTTTTGCATCTTTTTGAAAATAAAGTACTAGTCCTCTTTTTGATTCTTTTTGAAACACTGATGAAAAAATAATGTCATCACATTAGATATTGCACTAAGGGGACTGTTCATCTTCCTTCGAATATACTGACTCAATATCTGCTGCTTCTTCAATTTTTGTTGTTGCATAAATTTGATGCAGGATTTTTCCACTCTTTTGATGTGTACAATTTTTTTGCAAAATGGCCACATATGAAACATCTATATCTTTTCTTTTTTTGTAAATTTCTATTTGAAAAATCTTTTCCTTTGAGGAAAGGATTCAGAAATTTTTTTATTGTGGAACTTAAACTTTCTTCTATGGTACTTTTTCTTTCTTGGACGATCACAGCTGTTGTTGTCATAACGGCATTTGATTTTCAAATCTGGTTGATCACAAGCCATTTCAAGCTTCTGGCCTGTTGTATTGATATCCTTTAAAAACATTCTTTGGTAATAGAGTTTTTTCACGGATCATTTGACCCAATTATGGAGTTCTCCAAATGAGGTGGTTGACCATGATTGTCATTTTTAGCTCAATCATTTTGAGTGTCTCTTGACTAAGAGGATATGGTATGGATTTCAGGTAAGCTTGCTTTAAGTTGGTATCGTTCATTCCACCAATAAGATAATGCCGTCTGGCATGAAAGTGTTTGTCCAAATCTTTAGGATTATAAGAACAACACTTTAACTTGAAAAATTCTTTCCTTGTTGCATGCTTCAAATGATCTGTCTTTCCACAAAATTTTCAGTGATTTTTATAAAAGCATTAATTGTTGGGGAATTTGAATATTGGATCTGGTTATATTCTCCAAGAGCATCATACCAATCTTTAAGGAAATTGGTAGTTCTTGCCATTAAAGATTTTATGACCGAGGTATAAGTGATATTTGACATTTGCAATTCTGTTGAACAACATGCTTTCATTTCTTGGAATCTTGCATTCCACATAATTGGAGGAATATCATCAAAAGTAAATTTGGTTGTGGAAGTATTGCTTTGCGAATAATAATTATTCACCACGCGTGTCAAAATTAGCCATTTCTTCATCAATTATTTCTGGTTCATCAACAACGGGATTTCTTTATTGAGTTTGACTTGCTTGTGGTCTGTCAGCGATATAGAAAGGCATCATCTTCTAGAGAATCATCGAGGACTCTTCAAGTTCAGAACTTGTTTCATGTGTGATGGTTAAGACAGGAGATCTATAAGAGGAAGAATTTTAAGCCTTTTGTAGTAAGGTGGTGATGTGATTTTTTTATCGTCATTTGTCGTCCTTTTTTCGGATTTGGTGGAGGTAAAGCTTGTGGATTTTGTGGAGACAAAGTTTGGGGATTTTGTAAAGGCAATTGATTGGTTTTCTTTGCACTAGAAAGATGAACGAGTTTTAAGTTCTTTTCCCATTCTTTAGGAATGAAAAGTGAAGTTGTAGATCCAAAAGCTCCAATTGAATACATAGGTCTTGAAGTTTGTGAGAGATGAAAATATGCAGTTGGATGGTATGGAGTAGAAGGTGGGATCATAGAATTTTTTTCAAGAGAAACAAGTTGGTTTTTAAGATTTCTTATTTTTCTTTCTTGGTTTTCTATGGGCAAATAGTTTTGTAAAAGATTTATGATTTCAGCGTGGAGGGACTTTATTTTTTATTTTTTTTTGTTTACGGGCTTGGAGAGGGGTTAACATGGTTTATGCTTCATGTTGTAGAGTTATTTCAATTCTTTGCTGACTTTGGTAAATTCTTTCCAACAAGAAATTTTGTTGGATTGCATTGTTTGACTGTCCGCTCAAAAATGCTATTGTTGCTGAAAGCTAATCAACTGAACCATCTAATTCTTAGATATAGGATTCATGATTTTCCAGGCATGAGAAGACCGCTCTTTGTCAAAAGAGGTTAGTGGAGGAAAATCTTATTGTTGAGGTGGATGGAACAAAGCTATAAGCATGACTGTTTGTGGAGATGGAAGTGGACTATTATTTCAGTCTCATTTAGTATGCATTTGGTTGCAATCCATCATCCCGTCCAATAGGAATGTTAGGTTCATCATCCCATCTAGTAGGAATGATAGGTTCATCACTTGTAGGGTTAGAGTATATTTGACATAATAGTCAAATTTTCCAGAAGACACTCATAACAAATCAACTCCTGCAGATTTGTTTTCATATGCTTTACACAATCTTTGCCGGCTATTCTTCTTTTTTTTTCTTAAGAGGTTTATCTTCAAATAAAGCCTCTTCATCCTCCATACATTTTGCACAGAAACATACGTCCCAATAAGTGTGTCTTGAATCATCAGATCTGTAATAAATAGGTTTGCCATTTGCATCGAATCCACAAAATAGGAATTTCTCCGTTTGTTAAGGCAAACTTTGTAGGGAAATGGGGAGTCGTTTTTATTGGGGATTTCTTTTCAAACATATTTTGGACTTCACCATTTGACTGTCTTCTAAAATGATTGTTGATGGCTAGAATGGTAAAGAATTTTTTAATGCCTGGTGATGCTACTCATAACTAGTAATCCACATTTGTGGAGTTATTTTAATGAGCTCCGATCTGGGAATTTGTCTAAGAATTATATGTACAGCTTGACAGGCCTGTTCCCATTTGGATGAATAAAGCATCATGTGTACCATAAGGGATAGCAAAATAAAGATAATGATTTTGATTTCTGTAGGCCATCTAGTAGTGAAGAGTTGCTCCGTATGTGACTGCTGTTGGAATTGCACCAACAATTTGGACCTAGATATTCAAGGCTGATAATAGCAATGAGTCTGCTATTGGCATGTTAGAGTTTGGAAACATAATAACAAGTACTGTTCCAACATTGAGGGTAGCTTCCACCGTGCCAATACATGCGCGTTGATAATCAGCAAAACATGTATCTAGTAGGGCAATTCTAGAAATCGTAGGAGTCCATTTCTTCCATGGAGAGTAAGTGCAATTCTTACAGCTCCAAAATGAATATGGTTAAAATCTTTATATAACCATGTTTTTGGAAAATGGGATGGTAAATCTAAAGTGACAAATTATTTCTTTTTAGTGGCAGATAAAAGATGTTGATCGAACTTTGTTGTTTGGACAAACTCTTTGATTTGGGATTTTGATGGTGATATGAGGCTTAGGACAATTTTCGTGAAAGAGTGTCGTGATTTATTTTGAGCGAGATAAGGGTTTACAAGGGGTAGATCTGTGATTGAACCTTTTTCAGAATTTGGAAGATAGGATTTTTCATGAAGAAAGTCAATTTTAGAGGAAAAAGTTTTACAAAGGGAGGTAGAAGGAGATAAAATGGATGAACTAGAAGATTCAACAGACAAAATTAACAAGGTGTTCTTCCTAATTTCTTTCATATTGGATTTTCCCAATCAGAGATAGTAAGATCAAGGTAACAACATGACTTCGATACCAATAGAGTGGGGGTATGACAACCTATGCAATACACGATATTCTAGCTCGCAACAAACTATATGCATTTAATGTGATGTAAAATTGTCTTATAACATCATTTATATATTTACTTTTTCAATTAAATATTAAATTAGTAAAAAGTTCTAATGTGACGACTTCTTTTTCTCTTCAGTGTTTCAAAAATAATAAAAAATAGGACTGGTACTTTACTTGCAAAAAGAGATAAAATATTAAACGCTAATATTTAAGATGTGGATTTCCACCTACGATCCCATCACTCCCTTTTTAAGTATGATGATTTTTTTATCGTACATTCAATTACAAAAATTTCAAGTTTGTCATGTGACTTCTTTTAATTTTTTTCGTGACTTGCGGAACCCATCCTTTCTTTTCTAAGTATGATGAGTTTCTCATCATACATTCAAATACAAAAATTGCAAATTTTGTTATGTGATTTTTTTCAATTTGTTTTCATGTATGTCACATCCTTACTAAGGATAAAGGTAATGATATGTAAAACAAATAATCATGAAAACATTAAAAAAAAAATTTATTTGTTTTTCATATTCTCGTTTTTAGTTTGTTTCCAATTTCAAATATTGTTTTATCTAAGAGAACGCAATCAGATGCTCTTTTAAGATGGAAAAACTCTATTTTAAATCCTCTGTTTTTGATTCGTGGAAACTTGACAATATTAGCAATCTCTATAGTTGAACGGGGATTGTATGCAACATTGAGGGATTCATTTCTTAAATAAGCTTGTTTAGTGCAGAACTTGAAGGCACGCTTGACCAACTCGATTTTGCTTCACTTTCTACTCTCTTATGTATTGGCCTCAGTAGGAATGATCTCCGTGAGTAGATTCTCATATCAAATTGGTGATCTTGAAAATCTAACTTCTTTTGATTTGTCATTTAACTCATTTCAAATCGGACCCATTAAATAATGTTGACGATTGAAAACAATTCTTTCACTAAGGAAATTCCATTTGAAATTGGTTTGTCAACAAATTTCACATATCTTTTATATAAACGGTGATAGGAAGTTTGGAAAACTTGAAGGTAGTAGACATTTCAGTTAATATATTTTTACAAGAAATACCTCCAACGTTGACGGATCTAACAGATCTTCGCGACATGAATATTTCCTTCAACCATCTCACATGTATAATTTCACTTGGAAATTTGAAGTCAATTATTATTTTTCTTTTGATCTTAGTATGATCAATTGAGTGGCCAGTTGCACAAAACCATCTCCAAGTTCGGTGAAAAATTGGTTTATTTGAATTTGAAGCAGAATCACTTTCATGGCTCCATTCCTAAAATATTTACCAAGCGATATTAACTGCTTATATTGAACTTAAATGGAAATCTATTGAATAGAACTTTACAAAAAACATTGGTCAATTATAGGAAGTTTGAAGCACTAGATATTGGAGGAAACAATGAAATAAATGATCAATTCTCCTTTTCGATGGGAACTCTTCCGAATCTTTGAATTTTTATATTGAAATTCAACTGATTTCATGCTATAATACATATTTCAAAGGTAAAATATCCATTTTTTAAGCTGCAAATTCTTGACCTATCCTATAATGCGTTCGTTAGTGTTCTTTCAGTTGAATTTTTAGATAATTTCAAAGCTATAATGATGTGTGAGTAAAAGTGAAACTGTGCGTCATGTTTTTCCAGTTGAAATTCTAGATAATTTCAGACCCATGATGAATCTGAGTAAAGGTGAAATTGTACTTGGAGATCGTTCGACTTTTTTGCTGAAAGAGTGTGAGTATGAGTTGTGGAGTATCCGAAGAGCCTATACAAGCATCGATTTATGAAACAATAAATTTCAAGGAGATATTTCAAGTCCTCTAGTTAAGATTACGAATCTCCGTACTCTAAATGTATCTTATAATAGTTGTCACATCCCCCTAACAGAAAATTTGACTTTACTTGAATTACTAGATCTTCGTTCAAATCAATTGGTAGGAGATATTCCTTAGCAATTGACAAAGTTGACACTGAAAGATGATGACTTCAATATTTTAGATGGATTCACCTGGCAAGCTGTTATCATGGGATATGGATGTGGAATGTTGTCTGGATTGATTACAGGATACTTTATTTTTAAATGTGAAAAACCTAGGTGGTTGATAAGATTTGTTTATCGAGTTTACAAAACAATAAGGCTGGTGAAAGTGGAGGTAAATTGCTTATAGTTATTAGTTGAAGAAGAAGTAAGCTCAATTTTAAGCCTTAATAGAATATGCGTATCAATAATATTTCTTAGGAGGAGAAAATAAATGTATTATCATCATTCGGATATAACAAATCCTTCATTTTCCTTCTTCGTAATCTTTTTCTTTTTGCTTTAATTGAACATTGTTATATAAGAGAACATAAGCAAATTTTTCTAATTTTGTTTATAGATCTAATTTAACATGGAGATGTTGCAATTAGTAGTCAATTTTTTTTTTCACCATATTCAACGAAACCAAGTTATCTAAAGGAAATATCTCATCCTTCCGAAACCATCTTCCTCCTTCCCTTAGTTGATTCCCACCAAAACTGTAAAATTAGCAACTTAATCTCTCGGCAAAACAAATTCTGGCAGCGTGAGCAAACGGCTCATACATGTAGGTATAAGCTAGACAAGAATATATTTTTGTGTGGTGCGCTTTGTCTAACTTGCCATCAAAACATAAAATGCTAACAAAAAGAATCATTATATGTAAGACTCGCGCAATCCTCCCAAAATGCTCTTATGATTTGACCTTAAGATCACGAGTTGCCTCTCACATCCCTATTTTAAGATAAGAAGAAAGAAAAAGAAATTTAAAGGATCGATTGATTTACCGCTGTTTGATTTGTCCCCATCTCCATTTGCCATGAACTGTTGTTATATATACAACGTGGATCACTTTAGATATTTATGGTACTCTGTACTGAGAAGTATCGAATTCAGCACTAAAATAAAACTAAGATTCCAAACAAGTGAGCGCATACCACTCCAAAATGACAGTAAGGGCAAAAACATTTGAGCTCCTCATCCTTCTTTTCAAAGTATTATTTAGATTTTGACTATATATTTTTTAAGTTCTTTAGAGCTTTGACTTGTTCGAAATTAGATCCACGAGTCTCCTCGTTATATAGACAAATAATTTCATTCGTAGTAAGTATATTTTTATTTAAATGAACCATAAGAAATTAGTTTTTGAAACTTAAACAAAGGTGATCCATGGCTAAAATTAATCAGACAATTCCCCCTCAAATTTGGCCAAACATAGAAGATGACGCTCTGTGGGAAGTTTTCAACTATGCAGTCAAGATTCAATAGGACATCTAAAAATACAGAGAATTACAATGTTAACTTTTGGACAGATATTTGGGCACTATCCATCTCCTTCATGAAAAAATGACGACTCTTTGGAACCAGCTTTTTTTAGGAAGGTCATTCCAACGCGTTGAAGGATCGTTTAAACATCCGGAAAGTAATTCAAATTACATTTAATCCGTAACGATTCTAAAATTTTTGATGTCATATTCCTTGTAAAATTTCATAATAAAATGATATAAATTATATTGAGGTCCCGTTTGATTCTTATTTTTCTCAAAATGTATTTTTTTTCTTTTCTTTTCTTTTCAACAACGCATTCTTATTTAAAATAATATTACATGTAAATAAAAAAATTTTCATCCACATATTATCCCATTAATCTACTATTCTAAAATTCATTTTTCCTTTAAAATGGGTGTCAAATATCATCTGAAAAATTTATCATGCAAAAATAATAAACGTTAATGAAATAATTGAATTTTTTTTAAAGAAAGGATGAGTTAGATGTTTTTTTTAGACGTACGTTTAACTCACATTTAACTATTTTCGATATTCATTTGGATCATTCGATATGGCAACGATATAGTTTTCTAAATTAGCTTCTACATGATATAGGCGATTTGTGGATTGAGATAGTAAATGATCGCTGATGAATTTTGAAAGTTAATATATTATCAAAGTTTTCAAAATACTAGTTTGAAATGACCTATTTTGACTCGTAACTTTTGCTGTGATTGATCATTTTGCACGCCATTAATGAGAGAGAAATTATGCCATGAGCATTTTTAAATGGTATTTAGAACGTAACATTTTGACTTCATTTTACATTCCAATAATGAGTACGTCAAAGTAGATTGTAAAAAGATAAAAAGCAACTATTTTTTTGGGGGGAAAATTAAAGCTAAAATTTTGTGGGGTCATTGGTCCCCAAATGAATGTCCCCATGTCCTTTCATGCCCATAGTTGCTAGTAACCATAGATATACATACAGGATTGTGTATTCGAGGGTCCAAGAAGCAGTTGGACAATGACCCAGTACTCATCATGCACATTCTGACTTCAAGTATCCGATGCTTTTTTTTCCCGGGAAAATTACGTGGAGACATGTTTTTTAAGTTTCAACTTCAAAAATCACGTTTTAAGCTTTGTTTTACAAAAATCAGATGATAATTTAACTTTTTAATATTAAAATAATAATATCATAAAATTTAATTAATAAACCACCCCAAATCGAAATTTTGCTGAATTATATCGTATTCCACCTCTCCCCTCTCTCTCCCCACATCAGCGTTGCATCACGGTGGAGAGCACTATTGTGTGCAACGGCGAAGAGCACTATTACGCCAGAGTGAGAGCTAGAACTGGCGATTCTGTCGTAGTTACTCTTTGAGCGGCGTAGTACTCATCGCTGTTGCTACATACACCAGGCATTTTGGGGCTTGTTGCAGTGCAAGGAGGGATTTGTGTTGGAGATTCAGGGATTTTCGTGGGAGGAGCTTATTGTGCAATAATTGAGGTTTGTGGTGTGGAAATGGGCAGAGGTAGTGAAGTGGTGATGGCGGCCGGTAGTTTTGGTTGTTTTTGCGGCATTGGCGGATCCAGAACATCCTTGCAAAACTGGTATTCAATTATTCCGATCTTGTCTCACCACGGCCATGAAATTGAGTTTGTGGTGATGGTGGCTTTTGATTTGATGTAGAGGTGGTGGTGGTGGTGCTTGTGGATTGGGGAACAAGTGGTGGTGATGATGGTGGCGGTGGTGCTTGTGGCCTAGGTAGTACCTTGCAGGTGGTGATATATTTAAGATTGTCCGCGACATATTTATTGTTGGATCTTTAACGTGGTGGCAGTGGTGCGGTGATGTGGGTGGTGGTGGTTAGGATTTGTTGAAAGTGACGGTGGTGTGCATTTGGTTGATGTTGTTGGAGTGGTGGTAGCGACGATGAAAATCTAGTATGACTGAGTCTATATCCATTGTGAGTGTCCGTGCCAGATCTATAATAATTGTGACTGTATGTAACTTGGTTACATATAGTCACAAATTAAATTGATATGGTCACATATAGTCAAACTAGAGACAGAATTGGTCACAGATAAGAAAGGTCAGTGAATGTTGTAAAATTGGAGGTGAAGATAGTAGTGACTGGTGGTGGATTGTGGTACTGGGATACGGTGTGTGAAGATTTGTTTATGGTGACTCTTTGAGGTCAAGTATGTGTTTATTGTGGAAGTTGTGACTAATTCTGTATTAACTGTGATTGATTGTGACTTGATCACATACTGCCATAGTAAATATTGAATTGGTCACAGACAGTCACACTGAATGCAAATTTAATCACAGTTAGTCACAGGCAACACATTTCGGTGACACACTGACTTGGTCAGAGACGATCTGGCCATAGTTAGTCACAGATACACACAAGTATGGTCACAAACTATAAATCTAATTACATATAAAACAGTTAATTACAAAACCTGTCAACTACAATATAACACAACTGCCATCATGCAGTACTCAAAATGTTGCTAACACCTCACCACCACCACCACCAAACAGATTAACTGCAATGCAACTTCATTACCTCCAATGCATTATCTCTGCCACAATACAAATCTATTTTTTAAACACAGCGTCATCTTATCACCACTACCACCATCTGTAAAGTTTTGTGTTTGAATTCTGTTCCTTAGTTTGTTTGTTTCAGTTCTTGTGAATGAATTTATTTCTGGTTTGCCACTGGTATTGAAACAATATAGAACCACCCAAAAGAGAAACCTAGAAAATCTTCTATTTTATCTCGTTGGTGAGTGCACTCTTACGTATTTCAATTTGACTTTATTTTCAAGAAATTATGTTGTGCTGGGTGTAATTTAATTTTGTAAATTCCTCAAGTGTTCTTCAACATTAATTACTTCAAAATGGGATCAATTGTGGTTTTTATTTTTCTTTATCATTACTACTAGGTACCTTTTAAGAACTTTTATTATGCTAATTTTGTGGGCAATGAGTCAATTTATTTATATTTTTTGTATAACTGCTTCACTTTGGCATGTTAATGTCAATGATTCATAAAGACGGTATGGGAGATGTTTCTCATGGCTTGGGGTGAGAATTGCATATGGGTGGTGTAGAGGTTGATAGTTTTATAATTTAAATGGATTTCTTTTTATAATATACATATTTTTTTGGTGTTGGATTGCATCAATTGAGTCCTTAGTTGAAAAGGGGTGTGCAATGAAGGCAAGGAAATCAACAAGCCCTTTGATTTTGAGTAAATAATCATTGATTGACTGAGAATCCTTCTTTGTATGTTTCAAATTTGTCTTCAAATGCAAGATTTCCCACAAAATATAAGGTGGAATCAACAGGTCGAAGGTGGTGGAGTCGATGATGTTGTTACTTGTAGGTTGGCCGATAGATAGAAGCAGTCGATGATGATGGTTTCTTGCTCTTTTTCGTCCTTTTTCCCCTTTAGTTTGTAAAAGGTTTCAAGAATTTGTTTTATTTACGTTTCTCTTACTACTTTTATAGTTAAAACTGAATTTATTGAAGATATTTCAACCTTTGTAAATCACTCTCCATGAGCCTGTACCTATAGATTTATGCCTTGTATTGATGGGTAAAGATAACTTTCTAATTCTTACATTTCTAATTGTAGATAGTTGGGGGTGACATAAGTATTTATATCTCAAATTTCCTTTTTTTCTTTCGGACAGTTGATTTTATGGAAGTTCACCGGTTTATTTAGTAGGAGTCACCTACAATACCGGTAGAAATTAGAACAAATGGAAGGAATTAGTTGACTGACTTCGCATCATATTACTTGGTATTGTCCTAATACTTTTATTTTGAGCGAACAGCACAAGTTATAGTGTATAAGCCTTGGGAGTTATTGTGCACCGATTCTTAAGCAGGACTTCAGCAAGGGATATGATGGAAAGGATGTTGTGCAAAATCTACACCAAGCTTGCTTTTTAAGATAGCCAATAAAAGTGGAAAACTATGGCTTGAGTGGGATTATGTCGCATATTTTGCAATCTGCTATCCTATGAAGGAGAACAAATCCAGTAAAGATTGTGTAGATGAAGTAATCCGTTCACTTTGTATGTTACAATGCCACTCTATCAATGTTTTAATCAACCAACAAAAAATAAAAAAATAAAATTAAAGCATGCAGTATAATGTGTGCTTACAAGAATATTCATTTTCATTTTGTAGATGAGTTGATGTGACCAAAATCCTGTATACTATAATGGATACCAACATTAACTATACTGCATCATTTTGTTATCACTAAGTGTCGTGATTTGTCACTGTTATATTTTAATTATTTAATTTTTTTCTCTTTTGAGAATGAGAAATCACATCCATTGTTCTTATGTTGTTAGTTAACTACAAGGCTTAGGGATTTAACAGTTATGGCTGCTTAGAGTAAGCTAGCTGGTTGTTTACTGCTGTAGTAATGGTTTTTTCCTATTCGTATTGCTTGTAGTTCTTGAAATTATGTTGATTGATGTGTATTTATCACCCTTAAATTTTAATTTCATCTGAATGCCTGCTGTATCTTATAATGAGTTGTCTCCGTGTGAAACTGGTGACATGGATTAACCTTGGATTTCGATTATATTTCATACATTATCGATCATCTAAATGCTTGTAACCTGCTAGCCTGAAGTTGCAATTGAAGGTGAGGTGGGGGAAGGTATGAAAATGAGGCTCTCATCTCTCTATTTTTAGATGATGAAAATATTACGAAATCTGTTATATCTTTGCAGAATATGGTATCGCTAGATAAATAGAAGATGTCATAATCTTCTAGAATGTCAAAAATAGATGGCATGGTTAATAGACTTCACATGATGGTCTTTAAGCACCAATGTTCCCATCAAATCTGCTCAAGATTATTGACATGCTAAAAAATCATTACCCTGAAAGACTAGCCATGGAATTTTTTACAAACCCCCATGTATATTTGAAGCATTTTGGAAGGTTTTCCATTTTCCTTTTATAATCATTGATTTTATTTTCTGATCTTTAGGTAATGAGAGAGTAGACTTTGCATTATGGGTTTCTTTTTTGTTGGATTACATGGGATAACTGAAGCATTCTTTTACAACGGTTAGAATCATCTTTTTAGTCGTGGTTTACTTCGTGAGGAAGGGAATATGTTGGATTAGAACTTAGGACTATACTACATTAAATTAATTTTGTATGTGCAGATCTCAGTTAGGAAATTTTACGTTTTTATACTACAATTTATTCATTTTCATTAGGTAAAGAATTGACCTTTCCTCCATACTAATTTAGAAATGCTCTTTTATTGCAGGTTGTAAAATACTTTTTGAATGCAAAATCATTCTAGAATGTAAATTTCTCTACCCAAAAAACAAAGAAAATCATGAGATCCTATTTTGATGTAGACAATCTTCCAGCTGAGTTCAGAGGTAAAGTCGTACTGGCTTTACTACAACCACGTGGATAAAGCTTGAGAACAGTGTAAAAACAGTAGGTATTGTATTACTCCTGTTATAGATCTATACGCATATTAGAGTTAATGTTTATCCATCACTTCAAATGCACTTTATGATATGCATTATCTTTCAGTTACTTTGGCTGTACTTGGTGAGAAGACCGCAGTTATGTCACCTAAAATACTTGTTAATGCCGTTGTTCCATGCTGCAAACAGCAATTTAATATGGTATCTTATTCTTTTATATTGTTTGCTCGCTACAACTTAATTTCACTCGCTTCAGGAAGAGGCCCACATTGCCAAATTCTCTTATTTTCTGCTACTCTTAGACTATGTTATGTATTCTTTCACCAATTTAAGAAATTAAACAAAGGTAAACTGAGTTATATATAACCGATGGAGCAGCTCTCATCCAGCCTATTAAATTCAACCTTCCTCCAATGTTGCCTCCATCATTTCTCTGATCAACCTGTACTGTGCTCCTGATTAATAGATCCCTGTGGAGCTTCAAAACCTCACTCTTTTTCATATATTCACAACAAAATTTATGCTATTTCTTCAACAAGTCTTGAGTTCCTACATGGGCACAAAATCGTTATCAACAAAGCCATCTTCATTGCAGATAGAAGCCCACAAAATGACCAATGAAGAAGTCTCAAAGCATTGCATTGGTGGGGTACCGCATCACCTGTACCTACTATGGTTATTGAAGCTTTTAGAGAAAGCATTGATGCTCACATGACTTTTGATGGTAATTATGGGAAACTCACGATGAAAATGAAAGCATTTTTGCCCACCTGGTATTTTATCTCTTGGTTTAGATAAACAGATAATTTTTTAAATTCTGATTTCTCGGTTCTTTCTTCGTATGTGTTTATTATTTTACAAAAATTTGAACCAAATAATTGTAAAGGAATCTGCAACATTATGTCAATAAGTTTTGAATTGTTGCTGTATTCTTTCCCAAGAATACAGCTACATAAAATTTAATTATTATTAGATATAAATTAGTAAATATTATTTATTTAAAGTATATTTAGGAAAGGAGAGTTTACACGATTTTTTTTTTTTTTTTTAAGTATCAGTTTACACTCTCACCTAAAAGTTGATTTAGCCCACGTTTGGCCCTCATTAAATTTCATTTCATTTTTCTCTCTTATTTTTAATCACACAATCTTCCATAAAATAATATTACACGTAAATCAAAAACTTTTTCACCTTTCTCAACCTGTCATTTTCAAAAACATATTCCACCTGTTTTCATTTCAAAAAATGGGGACCAAACGGGGGCTTAGAACATACTTATATTTAGAGCTTGTTTGTCTTCCATTTTGGGAGAAGATATAGAGTTTTGAATAGTAGTTTTTGGAGAATGTGTGGTTGAAATTTAAAAAAACTTTATTGGTTTGTGCGTAGAATATTTTGTTGGGTGAATGTATGGTGAAAAATGTTACTGTAGCAAACAATTTATTTTTTTAAAGGATGATAAACCAGGCCTTATTCTATACTACTAAATAGTCAATTGCAACTCTGCCACGTGCGATGCTAAAAATTTTGATGCATCAATTGCTTATATTGTTCAATTACATGTTGCATATTTGACTTGTTTGGAATAATTGTATTTCGCTGTTAATTTACATTTCATTTTATGGGATCTTGATCATTTATTGGAATTTCTTATTCTGCAAAATGATATCTTTTAGAAACAAATCAATCAATAAATGGAAAGGAAAACACAACTAACAACTAGTTTTGCAGCTATTTGAGGTAAATTTCACGTCTTTAGTCAAGTTTAACTTTTAAGACCTCATTTTTTTTCTTTTGCTGTGAAATGTACAACAGTCCACAACTAACTGTTTGAATTTCTTGAGAATATCATTGAACGAGTTGCTACTTATATGAGAGACCAAGAAAGATGATCAAGGGGAAGCATCAGAATAGATTGGTTGTTTCCATATGTAGAAATGTAGGTTCAGCTTGATTTTATTAACTTAGTTTTAGTCAGGATAAAGCAAACCTTGATTTGATAATATATGCATGTGTCATCGTTTTTATTTTTCATTATATGATGTGTGCATAAATTGAATTTTAAGCATATCTTTCTATGCATGTTCAGTATTAATCAACAAAACTAAGCAAGAGGTAAGATTTCTTTTCTCAAATGACTTTCTATATTGTGGTTATCTACTCTGGCTACTGTGGAGGTTTTAATTGTTCGTAAGTATTTCAACTTATTTCTAAAATGGATGTGATTCTTGATTCATTTATGTGTTTTTTTTTTTTAAATTCTGATTTAGGCCTCCATTAATGTGATATATTCAGTTGGGGGCTTTTCCCCCAAATTCGAGAAGTAATAAGAAATTGAAAAATGAATGGTTTTTGATTGAACAGAATATGAATTGTTAGATTTTGAATGTTTAGCTATTCTATTTTGGATTACTGCTACCAAGAGTAAGCACAATTCTATTTAAATAACTAATATGAAGGGAGGCTCATTTTAAAGGGGAATATTTCCTTTGTTTCTTTGGTATTCATTATCGAAGCTAACAAAGAAATTTTAGTTTCTTCTTCCATTGCAGTGGATAGTTCATTAGGAGCAATGATCAGAGCTCTAACCAGGCAAGAGATCGGAAATGGGCTTGTTAAGAGGGGCTGTTTTTGGCGCTATCTATGGTGTTATTTACTTAATCAAAGTCTTCGAGTTTTCACCGCTTTTATATGAATATGGCATTGGGTGTATCTTGTATTTGGCGTGATGAAAAATGTTGATGCTTCTTTGGAGAGTTTTTTGTTCAGTCTGTCTTCATAATGGATCGGCTAACCTGGATCGGCTAGAGTGTAATTCATAATGGATTGTGTGAAAAAAAAAAATAATAATAATAAATAAAATTAAAAAATTAAAAAAATAAACAAAGCAATAGGTTTTTAGGTTTTCGAAATATTACAGGCTAGAAAGATAGCTTTGGTAGTTTTTATCGTAGGCAGAAGGCCTCTTTCTACACCCTCACAATAGCAAAATATACAAGAGCTGTGCTCACCAGTTTGAATGAATTTTAAGGGATTTACTCCTTTTGTAATCTTATGATTTTATATATTTTATCTAATGTAGTATTGAGTTTAATATTCACGTGGCTAATCTGAAGGAGTTGGAACAGTTCCATAATGCCATTATGCCTCTGCCATAATTGCTAAAACTAGACCTTTGATAAATGCTAACATATTCTGTGATGCTTCTTCATGTCTACACTAACATTGTCTTAAAAAAAAATTCTGTCCGTGCATTGCACAGGCATAGAATTAGTATTAGCATAAAATTGATATGTCTTACTAAGTCCTTGTTTGATGCCGTTTAAAATTTTAATATATTTTTTTCTCTTATTTTTAATCATACATTCCTCAATATAATAAATATTACACGTAAATAAAAAAAAAATCCTTCTTTTTTAACAACATATTCTCCTAAAAATACTATTCCATAATACATTTTACTGAAATTTCTTATTATAATTGATGTCAAACAAGGGCTAAATAATCATATTAATTGAATAAATGTCATAAAACTGTTTCTAAAATTTTCGAACCAAACACGGTTTTTTTTTCTTTTTTTTTTAGAAACAATTTTTTTTTCAAAATAACAAACCTAACGCACTTTCTATAATCTTAAATCTTAAAATAATCCTTCAAAATAGAAAATAGAAATGCAAACCTAACGCACCCTAAGTTTTCACTTAATTGGTCAGAAAAGAATAATTACTCAGTTAGTGCATATTTGATGAAAAATAATTAATTAAATTTGTGGTAGAATAATTATTATATGTGAATAACTATTACAGTCCTAATTCTTACAAATAAATATATAATTTGATTATGTCATGAGAAGAGAGAATAAAAAACAGTACTTGTGTGTATAATAATAAGAACTAAAATCCTATATGTATAGGAAGGGATTAGGGAGGGATACAATCGTAATAGTTTGTAGGGTTGTATGGATATAATTGTCATTCACTAATAAACTTATCATTTAAAACACCTCTCCTTGAATAACACGTTGTAAAATACATGTCTTGTTAAAACTTTATAAGATAAAAAACTCAATGAGACAAAAAAAAAAAAAAAAAAAAAAAAAAAAAAAAAAAAAAAAAAAAAGTACAGTTAATTGTTAATATTTTGGAGTATAAAAAAATGCTGCCTCATTAAAATCTTGTTAAGAAAGTTGAGTGATGTTGATCATTGAAAATCTTTGATTCAATCAATTCCAATCTCATGAACCAATTTCTTGAATATAAATATTGATAGTATTGTCATGAATAAATCAATCACATTGTCACTTTTAGTTGTCTTCATGAAATCAACAAATAAACTAATACCAATAAAAAGAAATCATCAAATTTCAAGAAAATTAATGACAACTAACATGCCACCGGAATATATTGTATAGTACATGTACGACCAAACTAATACTACCAAATTGTCAAAAATGCGCTAAGGAAAAAATTGTCTCTTTGACACGTGTCGAAAAAATGGACAGACACCCTCACATGCCGCCCTAACATCTGTAATCTCCATTTACGCGCCATCGGAATCAAGCACATTGTACTGCACATTGTCTCGTTGTGATTTGAAATATGATCACCAATCATTGAATGGAGGTTTCATTTGATATTAGCATTTAGCCATTGTTTGAGCCCCATTTTCTATTAAAATGTATTTTTAAACAATGATTTCACATTATTTCAACTACATATTTTTTAATAAAATAATACTACACGCAACCCTAAAACTTTTTCTTATTTTCTATTTACACATTTTTCATCATAACACTATTTTAAAATATATTTTTTTGAAAATGATGGAGCTCAAACATCTCCTTAGGCCTTGTTTGATATACATTTTTTCAAAAAAATACATTCTTAAACAATGATTTGACATCATTTCAATTACATATTTTTCAATAAAATAATATTAAATACAAATCCAAAATTTCTCAATATTTTTTAACTACACATTTTCCATCAATATGTTATTCAAAAATGCATTCTTATGAAATTAATGTGGCTCAAACAAGAACTTAATATTTTGCCTCTTTTTGCAAGTAAAGTATTAGTCTTCTTTTTTATTCTTTTTGTCATCAATTTAAATATTGTACTAGGACTTTTTAATAATTTAATATTTAATTGAATAAAGTAAATATATAATTGGCATTATAAGACAATTTTACACATCACATTAGATGCAGTGGAGGGGGGATAACATGATTTTAATTATCATAAATATTATTTTTCATAAAATAATTTTGACTGTATCACTATATTATTACTACTACGATATTAAAAGGGAAAACCTTACGTGTACACCTACACAATGGGTTACACCCCTTCATATAGAGAGGGGCCCACTAGAGTGAGTTTACCATTGTTCATAAGAATGCGCGCCACTCTTTTTTTTTTCCCTTTATTTCATATCCATCTATTAGGTCCGTTTGTTTGCAAAAATGGAATTTGGGTGGAAAGAAAACGAATTTTAGGAAATTGAATTGTCTATAACTTATTTTTATTGGGAATTATCAATTAAATGTATTAGATTGATATAATTTTTTACCTGAAAAATATTGAAATTTTGGATCTTTTGATATTTGTTTGACTATATTTTTTATGAAAATTATCAATTAAAAGGATATAATTTGTTATAATTGTGGATAAAATTTGTTTCCCTCACAAAAAAAAAAAAAGTTAGAAAACCCATTTTCCACCGAACCCATGGGAATTGCAATTTCTCAAAAATGTGGAAAACCCGGTCACGTGAGGTGAAGGTGAAAAATTAATTGCCTAGAAAATCTAACCAAACAAACATGTAAAAAGATGAAAAATAGATTTTTCATGGAAAATTCATCTCAAACGGCCATACCGTGCCTAAAAGGAACGTGCCCATTTACTGTTGTTTTCTTAATCATAGATTTCTCTTTCATTTCTCTTTTTCTGTGCCTCTGAATATTATGTATTCTCATTTCTTTTGTCATTCATTCACAAAGAAAATTGAAATTTTCTAACCAAACGGCCCATATTGTACCTAAAAGGAAACCGTGCCCATTCACTCTCGTTTTCTTACCCGTGTATTTACTCTTTCATTTCTCTTTTTTTGTGCCTCTGAATCGTTATGTCTTCTCATTCTCATTTCTCTTTTCATTCATTCACAAAGAAACACTAAATTCACCTTCTCACACACAAAATGTCACTAATTTGCCTTCTCACGTACAATACATGCTCATCTCATTGTTAAATTTGTTCAGCTATTCGAGGAGCTCTCGTTGAGTCTATTGAGAGATGCGAACTGCCGTGTTGATGGATCGATTCATCCATCAAACTATCGTCTGGATTCTTAGATTCTGTTGTTTGGGATTCCCACTTACTCTTTCGTCAATCTCTGTGTTGCCTCTTCTTCTGTACGAAGAAGAATGGGTGTGGTTCCAAAAGATTCCGTCAATCAGTCTGAAGCATTAATGGAGGAAGGTCATTTCTTCTTGCGAGGTTTCAACGTAAAAGAGTCAATATATTTTTTTACTGTTCCTATGAATGCATGCCCTTTTAATGTTTCCTTCATTATTTTTTTTCCTAATTTATCTTCTCTTCTCACGCACAGGGCAGAATAAGCAGAAAGAGGAAGATATTTTGCTGGCTTCAATTTCACAGCTTCCGATTTCGAACAGCACTTCACCATGGGTGGTTACGAAATTCCACTACGATTCGAGCTCCGATTTGACCCTTGGTTTCACTCGACCTTTCTCTACAATTTCACCGATGTAAGTTTCTACTTTATTTTTTTAATTCAATTTTAAAGACAAAAATACTGTTTTCAATTATCACATTTCATAATATATATTTTTTCCATAATGCTTGTGTGTTTCTCAGATGTGTTAACTGAACGCCATTTTTTAAGATTCTTTTGCCCAACTTTTATGGCGTGATTTTAACTATTCATTTCTTGTCTGTCTGAATTTGTAAAATATTTGATTTGGGTGGGATAAAATTTTTGGAATATTGCAGATTGTTTTAGATAAGCGAATTTTTGAAGAATTAAATTTATACTAAGCAAAAATGCTAAGAAGGAACTACATACAAAGTAGATGTAATGGGATATAGAAATTTCTTAAGTTAAAAGTTTTTGTGAGATAATTTCAGATTGAAAAGCCGAAAAGATGCACTAATATATGGATAGTTTGCTTGTGTATTTCATGGAAAAAAATTTGAGTCCAAACTGGGAAGCTATTGTTTTGGCGTGATCAGAATGTTAAATGTTTATAATTTCTTAGGAGGGCTAACCCCTCATGTTAATGTGCTTATGATCTCCGTTTTATGTAGTCTTCTGATCTCGAAACTTGTTTTTACTATAAGATCTTGAAATATTTGTTGGAAGTAACAAGAATCAATGAAGCTATCTTCCCCAGTTAATGGTCTATGGCGTTTTCCCTATCTGTTATTTCATCCATAGTTTGGCAAGATCTGACTTTGTATGAAATGGAAGGAAAAAGTTTTATTGTCAATGAGTCTGGGCTTTTCTGGAATCACTCCGACGCATGAGAGCGTAATACCTCTCTGTTTGATTTTGTTTTAAAAGACAAATTCCATGTATGCTGGATCTACGTGAGTCTAGGTGGAAAGATTTCCTCAAGTGTTCTCAAAGGCTTTATTTCTCTTTTTAACTATTGTTTATTTGATTTTATTTATTTATTATTATTATTATTATTTTTTTTTTTTGGGTAAGATCTTACGCGTTTTAATTTATTATTGTTGTGCACCAGATAAAATGCATATACTCTCTGATGTTTTCTAACTATAGAATGATTTATTACCAAATCTAGAATATATTTGCTTCTTTATTTTTATAGATATTCTCTGATGCGATAAAGAGGAATAACTTTCGTCCTCTATACACTTTATTCTTCAATTTTCATGAATATTCCCTAACTAGTCCTGCCCAACTGCTTTATGATGAAAATTTATTTATTTGTAAACATATCAGATAAGTTTATAAATATTCTTGGAGTGCACTTTTCTTCCATCAGTTTGATCAATAAGTTTATGGGTTTGATTCACATCATTCTTTATTTTCTTGTACTCTTAAAACTTATGGCTGGTTAATTTTAATGATATTTAGTACTTATAGAACTATAGCATTTAAGTGTGTTGAACTGGTCAATAGTAGGTTTTATTGGGTTAGCTCAAAATTTTCTCCCTAAAAATAACTGAAAGTCTGGAATTTTTAATTGTACCAATTGATAATATCAATTGAACTTCTTAAACTAAGTTTTGATATGGCAAATATAATTTATTTTTATTTTTTCAGATAGTCTTCTCACTGTAAATTTGATTGATATATATTTGGAAGTTCTTAAATATTGGAGTAAGTGCTCATTCGCGATTATAAATCTCTATATTTTTAAAGTATAAAAACATTATATATAAATGTGTAATTTAAAAAATTTTAAATTATGTTTTTATGTCCTACTTTCTGGATTTAAAGAATTTCGGTCGAACTTGCAACATTGTTTCTTTTTCGGCATCTTTTGGAATATTTTTGTTGTTAGAATCTTCATTTGCAAGAGCTGTACATTTTATGAATTTGTTCTTCAGAAATAAAGCATAAAAATGAAAATGTCCATCAAACTTTTTCTTAGTGTTTACGGTCCGTATATGCTAGATATTTTTTCGGCACTTCTTAGTAGCCACTCATGGGAGATTGTTGTTGGCTCTACAACAAGGTACTTTCGAGCTTGTTTAACCTTCACATTGCAATAATTTTGCAAAATTCAGCTTGCAATGTACAGAACAAGATTCATTCCAATTCCAGAAACTACATAATATTTCTTATAAACCAACTTTTATTGTAGGAAGCATATGAAAGCATAGATTCTAACAAGAAAGCTAAAGTCATTTTTGTCCTTAGTAAGTTATGTGATTTCCATGTTATTATATAATTCTGATATCTTTGGTATCAAATCTTTTGTCTATTATTGTTAAGATTATATTGTTTCATACTAATCACACACTTCCTTTTTATGTTCGAAAAAAAAAATCTGTCAATAACATATAGGACTTTGGAAGAAAAAATGTCCGAGAAGCTTGGATATTATTACCTAATGCATTTTTCCTATTAAAATCAATGAATAGTACCTCACGAATGTGCTTCTCAAAATCAAATCAAAGGTAACTAATATCAATTGGAACTCCTAAAACCTAATCATGTTTTGCTTTCTCATTCATCGTATTTTTCATTTGATTTTTCGCCAATTTCCTTTGTAGCCAGGGGGATCAATTCATTGTTAGCAATCGAGCATTCTTGTGGCATTCCCCCATCAAGGATACACCAACAATGATCTTAGAAATGGATATCTCACATGAGTCTCCTTGTCAGTCAAATATCCCATCCATTGCTACTGTAATTTTTGATTTCTTTAAAATTATTTGCAGTACCCTATCATCACATTCTAGATATACTAAACATTGCATGAATTTATTTTTGTCCAGGCTGTAGGATCTCGATCGTGGCTACTATAGGGCAGTGGTGCAAACCCAATCTTCAAAGGTGGAAATGATTTAATCTTTATTCAAGCTTTTAGCAAATAGGGAGGATGATGGCATTATGAGGTACTAATTTGATATTATTTTTCAACGTCTCACAATTATAATTTCTTGTAATGCTGAATGAATACTACTATATCGTGCTTAGGGATCTGCTTATGGATTTCTATCAAATTAGCAATGGGCTCAAATCATCTCACATTGTTGTTTTCAGGTAAGACTCATCATTGCAACAACGTGTATGCGTTTATATGTATTGCATATCTTTTCATTTGCTAATTTAATAGCTATTTATCAGTATACATATATCTTAGTGTTGTACATTCTATATTTTTGCATTTGTTCATTTTGTGAACAATTATACATTTTTTTGCATATTTATATTTCACGCTATTACATACCCAACTAACTATGGCACGTGCATCGCACGTACGTCTCACTAGTGTATCTCCCGATACAACTGTTAGCTGGAATTATACAATGGATCAACTGTTTTCTGGAATTATACAATGGATGGAACCTCCTGATGCTGTTTTGAAAGCTATAGAATGTGGAAGAAGTGAAAGGTCAGGTTATTTCCATCACTTCCTCCATCTTGTGCCATGAGATCTTCATTATATCGATTTATTATTTGTTATTTCTTCAGTGAATTCCTGGATGGCTGCCGTGCACTGATGTCAATGGCAGCTGTGAGTACACCACTTGTGCTCGATCAACTCTTGAAATCTTTGAGGTCCGTCTTATCATTTCTGGATTTATCACTAATTTCTCAATTTCCATCTGAAAATTATTATGTTGTATTTGTGGCTTGTACTGAAGTCGTACTTTTGACTTGACACTCAGGCCTTACGGCACGTTTACACCGTTATCTGTGCTGATAACTTAAGTATTATTTTTATTCACTTTTTCGTTGGAGGACATTGTGATACTATGCTTTAGTACTATCTGATCCTTGATTTGGCCTTAAAGCTGTTAGTTGCAATTGTCTTAAAAATTTGGTGAAAGAAAATTCACCCTGATAGAAAATAGCTGAACTCAAGGAAAGAACTTCAAAATCACCACAGATGCTTTTCTTTCATCAAAAAACAATTCTCGCTGGTCGTAGGCAATAATTGTCATGTAGCCAGTTAAGGGCTTTTTATGTTGATACTTGTCACTGAAAACAACTTAAACTGTGGCAAGTTAGATGCACATCCTGGAATGTCATTGGGTAGATAAGTTCAGTGAATGAGCATAATTATTGGTCCGAGTATGTCATTCGATTCTGATCTTAAAGAGTTTATAAGTGTTTAAACTATATAATATATCAAAGACATGCTTGGTCCATTTCCTGGCATTTTAAATCTTACGTCTGGCTTGCTGTTTTAGTAATATTTTTCTTGTTATATTTTAGAGCTTTTTTATCCTATCATTTCTTCCTTATATGCACCAGTGTTTTGGCACCTTTGTTTGAAGAATGTCAAACTTTTTGTAGCTTCGACGTTCATTCTTTGATTAGAGTTTTAACAGGTTGAAGAGGAGACTGGCGTACACTTGAATGTAGATGATGTGATTGACCTTACTGCCTTTCTGGAACCATCAACTGGATGCAAAGTTTTTCCTTCTCTGGTATGTCATCAACTGTTTTTATGAGCTCTTATATATTGTTGAAGTTATTTCGCGTATTTTAAAAGTTAGTTTTGAAATTAAACAATCGATTATAGAATAAAATATCTACAGAAGTAATGCATCTATGCATGACATCAAACATGGTTTCATAGTTATGGAGAAGAGAATCACAGGAACTAGCTAATTTATCCTAAGCACTAAACTTATGTACTGCACTGTGGATGTGCTAACGGAATTCTTTAAAATGTGAAAAATTAACAAACGATTTCATATTTGACAAGTCAAATAGTTATTCATTTCCCGAACAAATCATGGACAAGAAGGATAAATTAGATAAATTAGTAGAATGGCAAAAAGAGTAAACATCTTGTGATCACGTGGTAAGATTTTTTAGTTACCATTCATAACGTCCATCTGATACAAAACTCCATAGAAACAGGTCCTAAGGCGCTACTTGCTCCCTGTCCTTTTCTGCTTCAATTTTTTAATTATACAAAAAATCTTCCACCCAAATACATTCTATAAGCTTTCTTCATTTCCCATGCACACACTGTGCTTCCACTTACTTCTTTCTGCCATCATCTACTAACAGAGGTTTGTTATTATTTTTTTATCATCGGAAATTCTAAAGCAAGATGACGTTTCTAGAATCCAACTCTTGCGTACTTTATGATCTTTCCCCTAGCATTTCTATAATAATTTTTACCTCTTCTCATTCTGCCGACGCTTGTAGTTTGAAGTTTGAACTTTCTTTCTTCTTTTCCTTTTATTTGTGTTTCTTCCTGTTGGGACTTTGGTTCATACAGGAGGAGAAGACTCATTCCTTGTAAATTGAAGACCATCCGATTTCTAGCCGATATCTCATTCTTCCATCTTTGAATATTACAAATTCTTATTTTGTTTCTTAAGATGTTAAAACTTCAATTTTGTGCCATTGTAGCCTGATCATGCATTTGAACTGACTTTTGCAGGAAAAATAACAGTTACTATAATGGCAGATGTTGGTTCCATAGTTCTCTCTCTCCATTTTTTTTTTTTTTTTTTAATTTATATTGGAGTATTGAATGGAGTTTGTACCTGAAAGGAAATTACATTACAAAAGAAGAGGGAAGGTAGACTGCATTTAGCCTATGTAAGTGTAACATATAAGCAGCATAAGATAGTCATTCAACCATAAGCATCAAGAATTTACTTTCTATAGAAGAATTTTCAGCAGTGGCTTCACTGTTTCTTACTCTGCATAACGTTACACTTTTCCATACTTAAAAGATTTTTGAATAATTATCAAGCACTCAATGTTATGATATTTAGGTAGAATAAGGTCTTTGAACACTATTGATGATATACATGATGGTCTCATCTCTTCCTAGCTTTGTAAGATGCAGAGAAATTGGCAAAGAAATTTCATCATAGCATCTTGAACTTCTAATATTCCACACTTGAGAAAGCAACTAATTCTTTTGATGAAGCCAAGAAGCTTTAACAAAGTGAATTTGCTACATTGTATAAAGTTGTAATTCTACAGACATGTATAATCTACACTATTCTAGAAAATTTAAAGTATTATCATAAATATTGATGTCTAAGCTAAAAACTTTCGTTCTCTCAGGGAGTTTACCAAGATGGAAGAAATATTGCTGTAAAAAGGGTTTTCTTTAACGACAAACATCGAGCAGCAGATTTCTACAATGAAGGTAAAATTATCCTCTTCCAACTTCATGTATGTGTGTGTACATTGTGTATGTGTAGCTTAGAAAATCAAGGTAATATGACAATGAATCTACACTTGCCATGTATTTTTCTTTAAAATTATGGAAAATCTGTATTTAATTGATTTGATAACCGACTTCAACAGGTACTTCCTTCCATGACGTCTACTAGCTATTCAAAACGCATTTGAGAGGATGAAGAAGAGGAGGAGGAGGTATATTAGATTCTTATAGCCAAATAATTGGGGTTTTAGATCATAAGTTTATAGCAAAAAGTTTCTTAACAAATTATGTAACTTTAATTTTGTATTCAAATTCGATTTCTTAGGTGAATAGCAAAGCAACACTGATGTTTTCAGTTTTCGTGAGTGACGAAATTCACGAGAACATATTCTGGCCAGGTTTACCTTATAACTGATGAGTATGGGAGTAAGATATTTGCAATTGTGTTCTGGCTGTTGTTTTTCATAGTTAAATAATATTACTTGTGTTAGTTTACTCAAGTTTTATTTCGTTTGTATTTCTATCAGATGTATACTTTCAAGTAAAGAATAATGAAGATGTCTTGCAAGCTCTAACTACCAAGGAAACCATTGTGGTAAGAGCTAAAAATATACATGACTAAGAGAATTGGTTCGTGTATAACTTCACTGAAAAATTAGCAACGCAAACCTCAAAACATTATTTACAGCTTAAATGCAAATTTTTTTTTTTATATTCTTTTATTTTTCTATCAATTTGTTACTCTGGTGTATGTTTACTCACTCATACCAGCATACGATAAAGTTATTATGCTCAATTTCTAAGGCACTGGGGAATATTAGGTTCAACCAACATTAGTAGTGTTAGCTATCTTCTCTTAATGTCTAAGACGAACAAAATTAGAGAGAACGGATTATTTTTGGACGAGAAAAAAGGGAAAAGTTCCGGGAACTAGTGGTTTCTTCCAACTTCAATTAATAATTTCTGGAGGGAGAATGGATTATTTTTGGACAAGAAAAAAGTGAAAAATTCCGGGAACTAATGGTTTATTCCAACTTCAATTAATAATTTCTGGAGGCTTCCTTTACTTTTAAAACAATGGCAGAAAGTCATTATTGGACTAGATATAGTAGAAATAATTAGTGAGATGGAGGATATTGATTTTTGCATAGATGAGCTAGATCATGACGATAACAATTTTGATGATGAGGAGGACAATCATGAAAATAGCGACGATGGCAAAGAGGAGGATAATAATAATGAAAAGGTGGAAACTCTTTGTTCATTTTTTGTACTGTAGCACTGAAGTCTGTCAACCTTTGATATTTGCTCTTCTGCAGGACTGGGTTGCCATTCAAGCGATAATGGCAGTATGAATCAGCAAAAGGAATGCTGTAACTGGAGACCGTGCAGTGCAGAGAGCCCCCTCTGCTAAGCGATCTGGATCTTCTTGATGGTATGGTTTGAATCTTGTGTTATTTCATAAATTTTGTTTGTCAGATTTGTGATTTGTAGTGTATCTTTCTGGGTTCATTTTCTATCATAATATTTTGTTTTCATACTAACTTCTTATTTATCTCTTTATAAGGTTATATATATCTACTCTCCAAAAGTCTGTTCTCTGGAAAAAACTCCAAATCACAGCCTTTGATTCAAAAACAATGTGCAGAAGAGGCGGCTCTCAACTTGCTGTGCCATTTACAATCCCCAGGCTCAAATAAAAGAGGAAGGCCAGCCGGAAACCCTTGAACATCATGTATTCTTTGTCAACTATTCTGGGAAGAAGGTAAATCTATGCATTTTATGTGATATTAGTTGAATTTTTGTGGTATTGTTATTATGGTCGATTGTTGCAATTTTGCTCAATTTTAGGCCAGTGATGAAAATTAGCTTGTTAATTATTTCATACTTATTATATTGTAATTATTTACTACTTAGTTTAATGTTTTTATATTTTACAAAAAAGATGTCTAACCATAATGATTCTGTAATGTTTGGTGGGGTTTTGCATTATCTGTCAGTTGTACTTTGAATTTGTGTTTGAATAAAAATGTGTGTGATGTCGAGACAAGTAGTACCAGCATATGGAAATATATGTTTCTTTTGCCCTTCAAGATGGATTTAAAACCACTCATTTTAATATCAAGGAATTATAAATGGAAGCAAATGTTGAAAGTTACACATCAATCTGTTATTTGTGGTTCAATATTTTATCCACGTTATCCTATCATTTCTATGTGCACTTATTTTTAATAGTAATCAATTAAACGCACGTCATCCCACTAATGTTATGAAAAATAATATTTATGATAACTAAAATCATGTTATCACCTCTCCACTGCATTTAATGTGATGTGTAAAATTGTCTTATAACGTCATTTGTATACTGACTTTATTCAATTAAATATTAAATGCTAATAATTAAGATGTTGATTTCTACCCATCCTTTCCTTTTTACGTGGGATGATTTATTAATAATACATTCAAATATAGAAATTGCATCCCATGTGACCTCTTTAAATTTGTTTTATTGACTTCCCCTCTCATCCCTTCCTTTTTAAGTATGATGATTTATTAATCATACATTCAATTATAGAAATTGCATGCCGTGTGACTTAATTTGTTTTCGTGACTTGCCCTCCCTTTCTAATACATTCAAATACAAAATTCAAAGTCTAGCCATGTGATTTCTTTGAATTTTCTATCATGTTTTGTCGGCATGTATTTCACATCTTTACCTCTATATAAGAAGGGGAATGGTAGTGAAATGTAAAACAAGTCATTAATTGAAGTTGGAAGAAACCACTAGTTCTCGGAACTTTTCCCTTTTTCTCATCCAGATATAATCCATTCTCCCTTTAGAAATTAATCATGGAAACATTAAAAGTATTCTTATTTTTCCTTCTTCATATTCTCACTTTTAGTTTGCTTCCAACTCCAAACATAGTTTCCTCTAAGACAACACAGGCAGATACTCTTTTGAGGTGGAAGAACTCCATCTCAAATCCTGGGGTACTTGATTCGTGGAAACCTAACAATGTTAGCAATCTCTGTAGCTGGATAGGGGTTGGATGCGACGTTGATGGGTCCATTTCTTGGTTAAGCTTGGATTTTACAAAACTTGGAGGTACGCTTGACCAACTCAATTTTTCTTCACTTTCAACCCTCTCTATTATCGACCTCAGTGGGAATAATTTCCGTGGGTTGATTCCATATCAAATCGGTGATCTTAAAAATCTAACTTCTCTTGATTTGTCATTTAACTCATTTATTGGTGAAATTCCAAAATCTTTATTCACCAATTCGTGCAAACTTGAATACCTTGATCTTAGGTTTAATCATTTTCAGGGAGACTTTCAGTTGATTCTTACCAAGCTGACAAAATGTAACCTTACTGGGTTATTATTGAACATCTTCTTTGGTTCAATTCCTGATATTTTTGGTTTAATACCAAATTTGGAAATTCTTGAACTGACTGCATCTCAAGGAAATATCCCATCTTCAATAGGCAAGCTCAGGAATCTTCAAACTCTTGATCTCAAAATGGGTAGCCTACTCGATTATGAAATTCCTTTCGAGCTTGGCCTCTGCACAAACCTTTCCTACTTGTCTTTAAGTGGGAATTCACTGACGGGATCCTTGCCTTTATCCTTGTCCAATCTGACCAGTTTATCTTTTTTGTCCGTCCATGATACTAATCTTTCGGGTCAGATCTTGCCTTCTTTTATGACAAATTGGACCCATTTAATTTGGTTGAGAATTGAGAACAATTATTTCACTGGGGAAATCCCATCTGAAATTGGTTTGTTGACAAATCTCACATATCTTTATCTAAGCGGTAATAGATTTTTCGGCTATATCCCTCACGGGATAGGGAGCTTGCAAAACTTGAAGGCAATAGACTTTTCAGACAACCTATTTTTTGGTAAAATACCTCCAACATTCGAGAATCTAACAAATCTTCGCTACCTGAATGTTTCCTTCAACTATCTCATAAGTATGATTTCAATTGGAAATTTGAAGTCAATTGTTATTTTGGATCTTAGTATGAATCAAGTGAATGGGCAGTTGCACAAAATCTTCTCCAAGCTCGGATCGAAATTAGCTTATTTGAATTTGAAGCAGAATCGCTTTCATGGCTTCATTCCTGAAATATTTCCAAAGAGATGTCAACTGGTTATATTGAACTTAAATGGAAATCAGTTGAATGGAACTTTACCAAAAACATTGGTTAATTGTAGAAAGCTTGAAGTGCTGGATATTGGGAGCAATGAAATAAGTGGCCCATTCCCCTTTTGGACGGGAACTCTTCCGAATCTTCGAGTTCTTGTGTTGAAATCCAACAGATTCCATGCCATAATACCTAATTCAAAGGTGAAGCATCCATTTTCGAAGCTGCAAATTCTTGACCTATCCCATAATGAGTTCACTGGCGTTCTCCCAGTTGAATTTTTAAATAATTTCAAAGCCATGATGAATGTGAGTGAAAATGAAACTGCACGCAGTGTTCTCCTACATGAAATTATAGATGCACTCGGAATATGGATGGATATGAGTGAAACTATACTTGGAGATCGTTCAACTGTTTTGCTGAAAGGTTTCGAGTATGAGTTGCGGAGTATTCGAAGAGCCTTTACAAGCATCGATCTATCAAACAATAAATTTCAAGGAGATATTCCAAGTTCTCTTGGAAAGATCACGGATCTCCATGCTCTGAATTTAGCTTGTAATAGTTTCACAGGTCACATCCCACCAATAGAAAATTTGACTTCACTTGAATCATTGGACCTTCGTTCAAATCAATTGGTGGGTGAGATTCCTTGGCAATTGACAAAGTTGACATTTCTATCATTCCTTAACATTTCATACAATCATTTTGTTGGTCCCATACCTCAGCAAGGGCAGCTTCTTACATTTGATAACAGTTCATATATTGGCAACCCAGAATTATGTGGATTGCCATTAACAAAGACGTGTGGAAATGGTGAACCAAAATTGCAGCTTCCAGTGCCGATGACAGAGAATGATGATGACTTTAATATCTTAGATGGATTCACTTGGCAAATTGTTGCCATGGGGTATGGAGGTGGAATTTTGTTTGGATTCGTTATAGGATATTTTATTTTTAAATATGAAAAACCTAGATGGTTGATACGATTTGTTTATCAAGTTTATAAAATAAAAATGCGATAGAAGTTGGAGGTAGATTGCTTGTAGCTATCCCTACTATATAAAAAGGAGAATGTGAAATTGTAGAAATCAACAGCGACTTGTTCTATTTTGTCTCACTGTAGCCATTTTCTTCTTTTTTTTTTCCAAGGGAGCAAAAATGACGCCGTTTGTCTTAATGTATATTTTATTATACCGTATACCTCAAAATTTACTGTAACACACAATTTTCCATACCTCCCACCAAGTTAGCTTAACATTTAAAGTAATATTTAGATATATTTAATTTTTAAATTAAATATTAATAAAAAGATTATTATAAAATTAAATATCGTTTGGAATTATTAAAAAATAAAACTACTAATAATAAGACAGAAAATATTTTTAAAATGTAAAATGTTACTTGTAAGTAAAAAATTGAAGAGAGAAGAATTTTAAATTGAAAAATATATATATAATGTAAACAACACAAATATTTAAAAAAAAAAAAAAAAAAAAAAAAAAAAAAAAAAAAAAAAAAAAAAAAAAAAAAAAAAAAAAAAAAATTTCAATCATTTGAAAAAAAAATTATCTACAATGTTAATAAAAATAAATTATATGATTTAGCAATGTTAAAAAGATCTAATATACACATGATTGGAGCGATGATCTATTCTTTATGTTAAGTAATAATTGATTTTATTAATGGCAAGTCAATATTTTGGACGGTCATATTTCGGACGCTCCCTTAGGAAATATAGCAAATTTGAATGAGTTTTAATTGACAAGTTACTATATTGTAGTCCTATAAAAAGGAAGTCAGGATTTCTTGAACCTGACACAGTCCAATAAATTATAAATTTCCATTCCCCCAAAATTGAATTTTCATCCAATCATTTCCCGTTTCAGTTCCAACTTCATTGTGTTGACTCCTCTATAGCTAACTAATTTTCCTAAATTTCCATTCTACACCATATTGAAAGGGACGTCAACAAGGGTTATCGAAATCAAGAAATACATATTTTCAATCTTTTTTTTTTTTTGTTAATTTTGAGGTTAGCCTTCTTTTAAGTATTTATCGTATTTTAGACATTATAATTGTTAGGTCAAATTGAGAATATTTACAAAGAAAAAATTATGATAATTAGTACACTTTGTTCTTCTCATGTTGTTATCTTATAATGAATTGGTGGTGAAATTATATTTTATCTTATAATGGACTTATGTATATTATAGAATCATGTAAATAGCAAAAAGTTTCATGGATTGAAATCATGTGTCGCGACACTTGTTTTGTTTCGAAACTTTTTCATGAGTCGAGTGTGTTATTTGTTGTGTGGTCACTATCCTATCCATGATGAATGAATAGAAAAGAAAAAATATTAATGCATTATATTATCAAATTATAACCTATATTTACGTGTACAAGGAAATAAAATCAAAATGTTTATGATTTCATTAGTATTTGTCAATTTTGATCATGAAAGCTTTTGTTTGAAATATGGAATTTCATGATTAGTGAACTAATTTTGTATATTAAATTAAACCTCCCCCAATTTTTATACATACGTCATATGGTTCAATGTATGTTGTTATCTTATATGCCCTTGTGTTAAAATGATATTTGATTATTATGTATTGTGTCATTAATACTTGTTATTTCATATTTATACATGTCAATGCATGCATAAGTATACATGAAGTTTCAAGAAATAAATTTTTTCAAATATCAATGAGTTAAGAAATGTTTTAAATATGTATTCTGGATGTTTTGTTATGAGGTACATGTCTATGCCATAAAAGGTGTGAGTGAGAAATAGAGCGTGAGGAATTAGCACACTAGACCAACATTCAATGGTAATGTTAAGGTTAACCGCATTGCGATACTACTATAGGACTAGATTGAGTTCCAAATAATAATTGTCTTTTGCATTCTGATTGGTTAGGCGATAAATCAAGTGAGTTTACGATGTTAATGTTAAGTTTTTGAAGAAATGAAATAAGGGAGATATATATTGAGAAATGCTTTTATTTTAAAGTAATTCATATGCATATTATAAGCGTACATCATATCTATGATGTTTGCTTACTAAGCGTTAGCTCATTCCATGTTATACCTCCATATTTTTAGATAATGAAGACAAGATGATTCGAGATGATGACATATGATGACAAGGACTTAGTACTCATATAAGTTAAATATGTATTTTATTTCGAAATTTAAGTTCTAATTGTTTTTTATTATATTATTTTCAAATGATTTTTCATAAATGAAGTTATTAATATTTATTATGTCAAAGAAAAATGTAATCAGTTTCCGCATTTACGATTTTAAGAGATAATAAAATGATAATATTTTCAAATTTATGTATTTAGATTTGGAGACGTTACACTTTCCCAATTTACATATTTTAATCCTTATATTACCCTTAAATTCCAGCAAATGTTAGCATTCAGTGATTCATTAACCGTTTGGCATTATACCCAAGAATATATTTATATCAATTTTTCACAAATTAATTTAAAACTTCTGAATTTAACGAAGAGTTTGGGTACAAGATAAATCTCCAATTCTCAAATAAGTAGTCTGAAGATTTGGAACAATTTCTCATCCTTGATTTTTCTTTATGTTTTACACATGATTTCTTTATGTTATTTTTTTATGATAAGGAAACATTTTTTCTATATTGAAAATATAACTTCATTCAAGCGTGATTGTTAGTCAAATTGATTATCTTTATATGAATATTTCAAAAACTTTTCTTAATGTATTTAGAAAAGGGAAAATTGCAGTCGAGATACCAAACCTTTCGTTTATTAGTAAACTTTGCCCAAACCTTTAGTTTGTACCACTGGAGGTACCAAACCTTTCAAAAATTCGCACCCGAAGTCCAAATGGATGGAAATCGTCCGTTTGACCGTTAGTTGACCAATAAAATTAAACATTGACCAATTTTTGACTAATTGAAAAGGGTAAAAAAGTAAAAGTTACTTAACCCTATAATAAAACAATTAAAATAAATAACTAAAACAAAAAAAATACTATTCATCTCCTTCTTTACCCACCCCACTCCACCACCCTACCCCACCCCCATCCAAACCATACTGTAAACTGTAAAATGTAAACTATTCTCTTCCTCCTTCCAATACACGAGTGAGTGCGTGTGAGTGAGAGAAGATAGAGATCAAAAGGATGGCAGAATTTGCTCCGTTCCATTTCTAATCCAACCCACCCTCTGCACATCAATTCTACCTATACCACACTATTTAATCAATTTGTCTAGTGAGTTCCCTTTTCAATTTTACTTGGTGTTTTCATCTAATTTCAACATAAATTTACATGACGATTTGTGGGTTTGCATATATACTTGCATGTGTTGGTTTTAAAAATTGATTTTCCAGTTGTTTTTGTTTGTGCATTTAGAGGTGGTGGAAAAAGATGAAGCTATGGATGCTCTGAAGAGGGAGGCTATGGATTTGGTAATCAACTCTTTTACTTCATAGATTCTCTCAGCATTTTCTACTTTTGTGTTGGTTTCTCTGTTTTTTTGAAGAAGAAAATTGGTGAAAAAGGGAAGAACATGGTGTCTTGGTGGGGGTAGGGTGGGGGGTGGAGTGGGTGAAGAAGGATATGAATAGTATCTTTTTTAGTTTTAGTTATTTATTTTAATTGTTTTATTATAGGGTTAAGTAACTTTTGCTTTTTTACCCTTTTCAATTAGTCAAAAATTGATCAATATTTAATTTTATTGGTCAACTAACGGTCAAACGAACGGTTTTCATCCATTTGGACTTCGGGTGCGAATTTTTGAAAGGTTTGGTACCTCCAGTGGCACAAACTAAAGGTTTGGGCAAAGTCTGCTAATAAACGAAAGGTTTGGATAAAGTCTACTAATAAATGAAAGGTTTGGTATCTCGACTGCAATTTTCCCTTTAGAAAATCCAGTAAAGGAATCATGCAATAAACCATAATAATTATTATTAAAATCTATTAGATTAAATTGCTCATCAAAAGTAAGTTAAAAAAATTCATGATTAAAAATAAATTGTCTTACCATCTTAACGTGAAATTTAGGAACATAGGTCACAAAAGGACGAGTTAAAGCAATATGTAAATAATTAGTAGACAACAACCTAATATTGATAAGAAAAGCATGCAACCGACTTTATTACCTATCCAAAATAAAAAATATAAAATTGAAAAGCATGCAACCGAGCAATGACCTTGAAAAATAACGAGGCAACCTAGGGAGTAACACTAGAACAAATTCAATGTGAAAGTCATGCAAAAGAGTGGACATGATATCTAGCACTAGGACATATGGAATGTTTGACACAGTCCGGAATGATAGTAATTTGACTAGTTATTTCCACTTTGGTTAAAATTTCAGTTGTTTACACACTGAACCTACTCATTCTCTATATCACTCCTAGTGTGGCATAGGAATAGCTATATCAAACCATTTTATATTAAAACAAATGCACAAATCCTCCCAAGAGTGCATGTAGGACGTGCGATCTTGCTAAGTTTGTCCTTATATACAACTAACTTGTTAAGTATCTTAATTCCTTGATTCAAAACATGTTACAAACTATATCGGAGCAAGTGTTTCCCTCAGAATTAGCGTAACTTACAATTGAGTTACAAATGGCCATTTTGTTAGGGGGAAAAAGTTTCATGGACTAAATATGCATCAAAATTAAAAGTTGGGGATGACGTTGCGAAGAGCAATAAAGTTGCTATAAAGTCTAAGGGTGTGTTTGATTACATTTATTTTCCATGGAAAATATCAATTTTCCATCCAAATTCCTACTTGAAGTGTTTGATTGCTATTTTTTTCCATGGAAAACATTTTCCAACTTTTGAAAATATTCCTAATTTTCCTTGTTTTTAAAGAAAATATTTTCCTTGGGTAGATGTGGTTTTTATTTTTCACAAAAGATGGAAAATATTTTCTTTTTTAGGTGATATTTTTCATATCAATCAAACACACTCTAATAGATTAGAGATCAAGTAGATCCATGTCACAATTTTCTTGAAAATCTATGATCCCTTAGAACGGAGAAGGACTAATTTGCTGCAAAATTGAAAATTTAGTGACTTGTACTAAATACGTAAACAAATCCAAGTGCTCGTTTAATCTAGGACCCAAATCGAAGTCAAGTGGTTACGTCATGGAGCAATCAGTCCATTGTTGGTTTTTGCAATAAATTAGATCCTAATTCGTTTCACCAATGTTACTGAAGTTTGTAAGAAATTTCAAAATGGTTTTTGTAAGAAATTTCAAAATGATCTTTAAAAGAATTTTTATACTTTAGTCATCGAATTTTACAGAACAACGAGCTTGTGGTTTCTGGAAAGTGGTTAAAAAATGTAAGATATAAATAGAAAGGGAGAAACCAAGTAATTATTGTCACAAAATCATAATTACTTATAAAATGTATATATGCGTTTGTTAATTTCCAAATTTCTAAATTCATACAAATCCGACTCTTTACGTCCACGAAAAGTTAGAACCACCTTTATAGACGCTTTTAGACTCGAACGACAAGTGGGACGACAACATAACAAGAGAATCATTCAGAAAGAAAATATAGTTAGTCGAGAAACGATACTACCAATAATCAAACCACCCAGAATAAGAAAAATGCTTGATAGAAAATTGAAATAAGTCACCATGAGACGTAATTATTGAAATAAGTACTTTTTCTTCATACTTTTTTATTTACGAAAATAATCTACTTCTTTCTCTCTAATGTGAATCATTTGTATTATGTTAGATGCTACAAGACATTCGATCTTGATTAGTGCAATATCTCTCATTAAACACCTATCCAACTAAAACTACTTCTAACTTGAGATTTTCACCAATTTCATCATATTGACGTTAGACAATCCACACAAAATTTTTAGTTTCACACATGGAATCTTCATTTATCTCAACATATTCCTTCAACAGTGAAATCTTCCAAACTATTCTAAATTTGTTCTAAGTATGTAAAATATAGTGGTTTTAGGTTTGGCATTTACGGTCCACTATTTCAACATATCCAATTATGAAATCAACTCATTCCTGCACAATGTTTAACTTAATTTACGTGCTTAATATATATCAAACTTTACATGGAAAAGTAAAAACTAACTTAAACATGCAACTTATTCACCATTCAAAATCAATTCATAATTTAATGTATTGTTCATTGTCAGTCAGGATAACTAACTCACATAAGCACATAAAAAGGAAATATTTTTGAATTTTTTTAATAGCTAAAGAAATAAAACGCATACAAAAATACACAACATAAAAGAAAACTCATATTTTTCACCCCAAATTTAAATTAGACATTGTCTTCAATTTCTTAAATTCTAAATCCTTATATAACGGGGTGAAGAAGAAAAGGAAGAAAATACTCCCCTGATAAGACGTGAAATTAATTGGCTAAATTTTCCTATTGTATTGGTTTAAGCGATCTGCGCTATCATGTTCCTGCACAATGCAATTAAATAAAACATTAAAGATCAAATATCAGGAACACGTGTTATTTAGCTCTAATATCTAATAAACCAACTAATATACGAGGGATATAAGGAGAAGCAAAGTGTAGATTATGAGTACCTAAAATTGAATGAAAATAATAACTAATCTAAATTATCATATGATTAGAAAGTATAATAAAAGGGAAGAAAGATTGGGTTGCCTCCTAATAAGTGATTTGTTTAAAGTCCTTAACTTGACTTTATTGTTTCGACATCATGAAATTTTGAAGAACGCTTTTGATGCATTGATCAATCTGCCTCTTTTAACTTTGCTCAACTCTTCATTGCTTCTACAAATTTTAGCGTTGTCAATTCCAATGTGATATGGCTTGCCTATCTCATCCGATTCAAATTCAACGATAAGGCAATCAATGAAGTAGATAGAATGTGGGTTAACGTCTTCTTAATTAATTATCTTCTCTTTGTTTTGTTCATTTGTAATTGAACTTTCATCATCTTTGTTTTCGTCTTTCATAATTGATATCTCCTCAGGTTAAATGGTTGGTTCACAATCTACATCCACAGGCAATGGAAACTCTTTTCTTTCAAATTTTTCGAGTTAACTATCCCCACATTTTAAATTCATACCATAATACGCCATTCCCCACAGACAGTTTGTTTTCATCAAATTTGGTAAGATCAATGTAGTATTTTGCAAGTACCTTCTTGTTCAACATGGAAGAACCAAATCCCACAAGAGTGTTAGAAGGAACACACTCACCACAGACATTTAGCATTCAAAAGATGTGGCAATTGCTAGTCTACGGCATCTTAAATATTATTTAAACCGTAGTAACTTGCATTGATAGGGATCAATGCATGTATTCAAGTAGTAGCTAATACAATGCACCCCATGGTAGAGTTCACAATAGATGTTTTCTTCCTTATAGTTCACGTCGAGATTATTTATTGCAAAAAATCCTTTTATTTGCCAATGTTAGAATCCTAAATATACTGCTGAATGACACCTGAAAAGAACACCAAACAAGAGAGATTAGAGTGGGTAATCAAAATCAACAAAAAAAAAAAAAAAAACCTCGAATCCAATTTAAACTACTAAATTAAAATTAAATTTGTTATTTCTCGGCAACGGTGTCAAAAACTTGTTCGTAAAAACCCTGCAAGTGTACATGACTATTGTACAAGTAATAAGATTTGTGAATTAAGAGTATCGTTCTTACGAGGAATAAGGTATAATACTTAGTTCGGTAGCTTTTTGTATTAAATTCGAAGTAATATAAAATCAAAAGAATTATTTTTTATGTGTTCTATACTAATCCTAAACAAAGAAAGCAAATAAAATATTTATCTAATGTATGAGTGTTTGTATTGGAATCGTGAATTCCCCTATTACCATTTAATTTAACTCTTAATTCATAATTTAGTAAATTCATGCATTTAAGGCAATCAATAATTCACTTTTATTCAATATTCTTTGTCAAAATATATTAAAACTATGTTTAACAAGACCCGATCCTATTCTTAATAAAAAAAAAAAAAAAACCTCGAATCCAATTTAAACTACTAAATTAAAATTAAATTTGTTATTTCTCGGCAACGGTGTCAAAAACTTGTTCGTAAAAAACCCTGCAAGTGTACATGACTATTGTACAAGTAATAAGATTTGTGAATTAAGAGTATCGTTCTTACGAGGAATAAGGTATAATACTTAGTTCGGTAGCTTTTTGTATTAAATTCGAAGTAATATAAAATCAAAAGAATTATTTTTTATGTGTTCTATACTAATCCTAAACAAAGAAAGCAAATAAAATATTTATCTAATGTATGAGTGTTTGTATTGGAATCGTGAATTCCCCTATTACCATTTAATTTAACTCTTAATTCATAATTTAGTAAATTCATGCATTTAAGGCAATCAATAATTCACTTTTATTCAATATTCTTTGTCAAAATATATTAAAACTATGTTTAACAAGACCCGATCCTATTCTTAATACGAACTCAT